GGCAAAGATCTTATTTAGTCCCGAACGCTGGCCTGTTATTAAAGGAATGCTAAGTTTAAGGGAAACCAAAGTACTCGTTAGGTAATTATGCGCTGAAGACATATCAAATTAATATGTAGTACCTTCGCACGAAACCATTTTCTTCATCATTCCGTCACTTGAAAATTGGCGTATCTTTCCAAAAAATTTTAATTAATTTGCAGTATTTTGCATCTGAAAAAGCATAATTTCGAGACACATTATTTGTAGAAACGCATCTTGATATCTTTGTCTATTTTTAGAAAAACTACATCTCACATCCAATTATTTTAATCAAATACTTGATGGATCGTTTAAATGTCATCACGTGACGACAGTCGTTTTAGTGTTTTAGACTTTCCCAAGCTCACGTTTAAGTCAAGTACCGCACGTCAAACCCTCCTTATAGTGTGTGAACACGGCGGTCGCTACAATAACGTTGTTCGATCCCTCGAAAACCGCGGCGTGTTCAAGTAGTCTCGATAAGTGCACTTCGAACGATCAATCGTTCACGCCTGTGCTAACGAAACTAGGAAATTCCGTCCATTTGGAAAGTTAAGCTATTGCTTCAAATTTAGGGCATGTTTGATAAAATTTCAATAAATGAAATAGTTTATTACTTCTTTCGCTTTACATACTTAATTAACGTAAATGCGTCAAATGCCGAAAAGTAGTAACTTTGACTAACAGTCACCCTTCTGACTTTCTCTAAGTCGATACGTTAGGTAACCCCCGCTGCTTCACAGCCGCGTTCCCCACTGTTTGGACAAATTTGATGCTATCTTCAAAAATCGCCTTGAATGTACCAAGACGCGAATAAAGGAACGACAAGAGATCCGATCTCTCGGCGTCGCCAATTGGAAAAACCTCGACTGTTACGATTTCTTGAATAGAATCGAGCTACGAACATCGTCGATTCGTAGCGTATTTTTGTGGCATTTAGGTCTTACTTGATCGCAGAATGCCCGGCGTATCGGGTTACGAAAATCCCTGATCTCCAGTAGCAAGCTAGTTCACATGCGACAGGTATTTTCCACGTTCGATCGATCGCGGGTATTTAGTTTCGATGCGAATTCAAATCGAGGGGAATGTTTGGAGCCAAGGAGATTATCGCGGTATTGGCACTCATAGAATTTCGTAGTCGACTGTCCCTCAACGACTTCTTTTCTATTCTTGTAAATCGATAAACCGGAAGTTACAAAATTTGACAGGTACTCCGCGTACGGGTGCTTTATTGCTCCCATCGTAGGATGATAAAATATTTCTGTCCATCGTTCTTGCAAGCAGGCGTCCAGTTTCCTTCCTATTCGCGCGTGAACATTCACGCAGAAGAGATTATCATCCTGGCGAGGTACATCGAGCGCATTCGCGTGAGATTTCGTGAATATTTATGTGATTCTTCCTTCTTCAATCGCGCATCCAACTGACATTTTAAGGACGTGCCGGCGACGCGTGTTGGTTTATATACGGGCTATTTGAGGGCTGGCGAGGGCATTCTTAGGGCTGTTTCTCCACTGTGCTCGTTGCACAATGTAACACTATCCCCCTTTGTAGCAGCGCAGCCTTGGAGTGTCTTTAATGCGAAACCGAGTGCGAGCGTGCTTGCAGCCCTGTATTATTTTTTCATGAATAATCCCGTTATGAGCATCTAAGAGGCCGGAACTTTAAGATGATGTTTTATTTTTGTTCGCGTATATGAGCGACGTTTGTTAGTGCGAATTTACAGATATCCTTTTTTCTTCTACCTTGAATTTTATAAGATTATCATTAATGTTCCTTATCTCAGCCAATTATCTTGTGCCGCAGATCTTATATTTCTTGCCTCTGAAATATTTTGGCACACGTTAGATGTCACAGTTGCTCGTTAGTATTCATTGTCCTCCATTTGCGAAGGTGTTTGAAACCCAGCGAATGTCATGGATTAGGGAAATTTGTGTAGGATAGAACCCTCGATACTCGTTATTCCCATTTTCGTCACAGTAGCGTTCCGCATGAATTGACCGTAATTTTGAAATATATTTTACCACACATCATGTATATATTATTTGAACGAGTCTTAAATTTTTATAAAAATAATTGTTTTAGAAATATAATCGATTTTTCTGAAAGAAACTATCCCTTACACAAACGTTGCAACAACAATGCTGCAACATGTTGCAGCAATATTGCAGCAATATTGCTGCAAGTACCGTGCTGTATGGGATGGATCTTGCAATTCGGAAATGGCTAATTTTGGTCACGCTCGTCTTCCGAATGGCTTTCTATTAGAGCAGTGGTGAATGTGCGCTGAATTTCGTTACAATCGAACGTTTTGCAGTAAGGGGTGTGTGTTTCGCGTTCACAATAAGTCCCTGAAGTGTCTTTAGCGCGTACAGTAGCGCGCCGTTCAATGGTCGGTGCTCACAAATGCGCAGCGGGGTGTCCGGGGCCTCTCTCGAGATTCGCCACTTCGATATGAATGTCGATGATCGGGAGAAAAATTAATGTCTACTCCGTCACGGCTTCGGACGAGTCTTCGTGGCCAATACTTTACCTCATACGTCGGGTCTTAATATGTTTATTGCTGTGAGAATGTCGGCCTCGGATAGGTAGTAGATTTTTATCTACCAACGCGCCTTTTAACTCGTCTCGTAACATTCAACGACTGAAAAGCATATCCGGATCTTCTCTCTGCTTGATTCGGTTTTCGTCTCTAAATTTAATGACATTCTTCTTAGTGTCGCAATTATTTCATGCCGTTCCAGACGTTGTAAATAGGTATTTTTACGCAAATGCTTAATTAACGCAAAGCGAGTGGAATAAAAGTTAATTGCTTGATAATTGATTTGTTCCTTATCAATGAAACTAATAAAATTACAAAATAATTTCTTTGTGAAGTGTTTTTATAATATAACATATACATGTACGTATGTAATAGTGCAATGATATAAATGAACAAAATAATATATACTTACGTACATTATCGCCATAATTCACAAAAATGCGTTCCTATATTTTCGATTAAGTACATCTAGATGATATTTAAGTGTACAATGTAGTTGATGAAAAATCAGTCATCTATTTATCAAAAACAAAATTTTCAGAGAAATGCGTATTATTTTTTGTAGGATTATTTTATGTATTATTTCGTTTTACCACAAAAGAAAGAATCTAGATTAGTTTAGATGGTAAAATGGATTATTTATTTTTAAAAAATGAAAAAATAAATTTTTTTACTTTTTTCTTATACAGTTCTATCGATAAAAACGGTTTCTACATATAGTCTGTTTTGCGCAAGCTGAAGACATCTGTTGGGTCAAAGAAGAACTAAAAGGGTTAATACATCTTGAAAAATATTACAACTATATTTAATGAATGATAATTATAAATGATTATATTTAGTTTTATTTTCTCATTTCTTTCACTTTTTTGTAGAAATAATCTCAATATACAGTAATGTATCATGAAAAATATATAAAATTTAATTTAATTATTGTTGTTTATATATTTTTTTTATTTAGATAAAATGCAAAAGGCGAATAAAAAATTTTGTGGGCAAAGAATCGCGTCGGACACTAATCAATATTTAGGTGTTCGTGAGAAACTTATCGAAATACCGATAGTCGACAATAGAGAGCTGAGGTACAATATTTATTAGCTATAATTGTATATTTTTTATTATTCGGAAATGAGTAGTTAACTTAAATGTGAACATACAATTTCATTATAAATATTATATCGTTGAGTGTATCATAATTAACTTTTTTTTTGCGCATTTTCCCTAGGAATGATTTAATCGCACGCATCGAAGCTGTTACGCTGAAGATAATAGAACAGATATCAAGTGAACAGGCACCATGTATATCGTACTTTAGTGGCCGAAATGATATTTTGAAATTGAGTACACGTAAAGAAAATGTTTATCCAGGATGCTCAATCGATCCAGCCTCGCTCCGAGAGGGAACGATGTTTTTCAATGATGCCTTAACTGACTTTGTCGAAGAGCAAGATACAGATAATAGAGATACCCAGAATTTGGAAAAGACAACCGTTGATTTCGCAGTGAAAAGCAGCAGAAAAAAATTTGTTCTAATGATGGTGATAATGGCTGAGGTTCATCATTTGTTGCTAACAAACACCACCAAGACCCGACGAGCGTTTTATTATGATTTAAAGAAAGAGACAACCAAATATTTGGTACCTATTCAACGATATGTCGATCGTGCGTTGAATGATATCGCTAATTTGTTAGAATGCGCGCCATGGGATTTGAGTGAGTTGGTCAAACACTATTTAATTATAGGAAGCCTAATTATAAATATATAATAATTAGACTGTATACTGAAACGATGCAATAATAAATGTAAAGAAAATAAAAAATATGAAACAAAAATCAATAACTAGAAGTCTTTCCAGGATTACTGGCAACGGCTAAAGGATTGATGGCAGGAAACATGACCATCACACTAGTCGATAATCAAGTTATTGATTGTTCAATACCAGGCGGCGCGCAAATACCGCAAATTATTTCAAACATAATTTCCATTCGTGTGAAAGCCGAGTTCGTCTTGGTCATTGAGAAGGATGCAATCTTCCAAAAGTTACTCGAGGAAAACTGTTCTCGCTCCCTAAAATGCATTCTAGTGACGGGAAAGGGTTATCCGGATGTAGCTACGAGGATGTTTGTCAAGATATTATCCGCAAAGATGGAATTGCCGATTTATATAGTTGTAGACGCGGATCCTTTCGGCATAGACATTATGTTAATTTATCGGTAATTTAAGCGAAATTGTCGTTATTTTTATTAGAATTTTTTTGTATTAAAAAAAGAAAATAGTAGGTTTCTATAACTTTAGTTCTTTATCATAATCCTTCTCGATATACAAAAGTTGAGTATATAATTTAGATAATATTTCAATATTACACGCTAGTTTAATTTTTATTCGAGAAATATTTCATTTCTATATACATTTCTATTACACTGGTTTCCGCAGCTTCGGTTCATCGACGCTTTGTAAAGAAAACGAGAGCTTGGCTTGTCCTAACGCACGTTGGCTCGGAATCCACCCCTCGGAATTGATTCCTATAGGAGCAAAAACAATCCCGCTCACCGAAGCCGATCTCATAAAATTGAGATCCATCGAAGCCCGGAGTTACGTAAACGAAGCTATATCGAAGCAACTGAGGATATTGCGGAAGGGCAAGGCAGAAATGGAGGCAGTGTCCTCCTTTTCAAAAAATTTCTTTACCGAGACGTATTTATCTTATAAAATAGATGGTCAGGATTATATTTAAAACGTAATCTATTTGATAAGACTTTCGAAAAATTTATGAAAATATTTAGTTGGAATTCTATAAAATTATTATTACGTTCTTTAATCAAAGAAGACACAGAAAAATTAGTTTATAATAAATAAAATATATGTGTTACTTTAAATGACTTCTCATTTTGGTATTGATCCATGTTTCGTTGAATAACTTTTTCGGGAAAGCTGTCGTTGCTATCCTCTAACGTTATGAGCTGCGGACTTTTATGAAACGAACCCAAATATATAACACTGTTTTCGGATAATTGTCTCGATGGGATAAGAGATTTAATCAAATCCATCATTTCTATCTCACGAAGATTTCTTTTCGAACGAGTCTCGTACGGATGATCGTGCAGTCTTGAATATAAAATTATAAGTATTAAATTATAAGTATTAAATAAACTTTAAATAACGTCCACTGTAGAGAAGATATTTCAATAAAATTATATTTACAGGTTCTTCGAATAATTAATGGTTCCGTACGGGTTAATATTTTTTTGCTTGAAACTGTTTGAGAAAATTGTGCCTTTTCTTTTTCTTGTTCGACGAGAAATCATAATTTCTCAAGCCTGCTGCAATATCTCGATGCCTTAATTATTATGTGTTGTTAAAAGTCGTCCGTCAAAGATGCAACATTGAGGAAGAATTAAAAATACTTCAGATAATATAACAGTTTATTGAAAACACTTTATCCACCCGGTGTCCGGGCCGAGCTTCGCTGATATTAAAAAACGCAGAATCTTAATAACATGATTATTTCGTGGATGTTACGTGGAAGGTAACTTGGATGACATCCGCGAAATCGGCAGTGCGTTATAAATCCATGAATGAAGTTAATTGCAATCGCTTTCGAAAATTCAATCGAGTTGGATTGGATCTCGGTTTCTTCTGTCAATTTGAAAAAGTCTTGAAACATTTTTGAATAAACTTTAATAAATTATAAGACACAATTGACTACGTCTGGGTGTTGTTAATGGATTTTCAATGGAGGACCGCCTCCCGAATTATTATTACTATTATTATTAATAAATTATGATAACCGAAATAAAATTAAGTCACTAATAGACTATGTAAATATAAAAATTTTGAAATAATTTTCTGATATTTAAACGTGCAAATTTTATACATTAGTAAGCTTATCTTTGAAATAATATAAGTTATTTGGTCTTGCCAGAGAGAGATACTGATAAAAGAGATTTTTTAAAAATCAAAAGTAAAATTTTTTAATTAATTGACTTGCTTCTGACGATTTATCGCTTACTTTTTACTTATCGCTTACTTTTTTCATCGTTGAATATCAAGCCATTAAAATGGCCGATTTCGTGGATGTTTCCGGTGCAGGTCCGTGCGAATATCGCCAAAAGTCGAGTAGAAATAACTTTCCGTGCCCATTCCGCGATACTAATTGAAGGCGAGTATCGATCGAGCAGCTCGAACGACATCAGGAGTGGCTCTCATATGGAATGCGTATCAAGCATTTCGATGAAATGGATATAAAAAACAATCTTTCGAGACTGCCGGACACGCCTCCGAGCGGACACAGATGCGTTTGGAGCCACAAATCGTGAAAAAAGCGTCACTCGTCTTCAAGAAGTCAATGTGTTCTCTAATCGCTAATTGTCATTGATCGTCAAACGATTAAAGATTGAAATTTTCTATTTATCGACTTCAAATATGGAGAAAAAGAGACAAAAAGATTATAAATTATCTGAAATTTATATTTCTCTTAATAATCATCACAGATTCTTATAGATAAAATGTCGTATTTTCCTTTTTTTTTTTTTTTTGAGAAATCAGTGTGAATATAATATATTTTTTAAATCTAGACTGCCGGGTTTAATTAACGCGTTCTGTTTGACGATCGTTCCGATCGGTCGATCGACCTATACGACGAGTGTATTTAATGCGCATTAATTTATTCATGCGTTCGCACGGGCCCAATCCTTATATTGACTTCCGCGTGAGAAAGTTATCTGTTTCTTTTAATATATTGCGTGTATATGTGTGTGTTGCGTGTTATGCCCATACGAGTGTATTTTTCATTGCCTTTTACGTTTTTTTTTCTTTTTAGCGGCGATAATACGTTACCAAAAGCTATAGATACCCTTATGCGTTGCTACCAAGGTTTCTTTGTTGCGATTAATTTCATAATTCGCATGCTTGTACATATTGCGTGCCTGCCTTTGTGATATTTTTTTTCCGATGCCCTATGCTTACATTTAACGATTTGCCTCACTTTCTGCCGTTGTTATATTTAATAATTGATTGTGATTTACACATTCACACATTCTCTCGCTCTCATTCACTCTACCATTATTATTCTTTCTCCCCCTCCCCATCTTTTTCTTTGTGGCTCGCGTTTTCGAATCCAATCGAATTCTCCCGCTTCTTAGGATCGAACAATTCGCGTTTCGATCGCTCGCGTTATATTTATTCGGGAATAAATGGAAGCGATATTGTTGACAACAAACATTTTGTTTCACTACAAACGACCATTCATTTATCGCGAAATGGAGGAGTCCGGTTAAACTTAACGCTTGTTGCGCATTGTATATAACGTTGCACATTAATTTTATTGGAAGATTCATTACAGCCGTCTGATTTTCAATAGCTAACATCAAAAGATAGTGAAAAGAGTAATCCTCTCTAAGGATAAATCCATTCAACGATCAATTCAACGAACGGAGAATTTTTCGAAGCCTCCATTACGCGTTACAACTTTGTACTTTCTACAGTCGACAGCGGGCACATCATCTCGACCTAACGACCCTTCGCATCTATAATATTTTTATCCTCGCAAAAATCGCTTTCGTGAAGTCTTCTCGGTCGCGATAGTTTGACAATACTAGACTTCGTCGCGGTTTACAATACACGCTCGAACCATAGCGATCATTCACGAGTATTCATTAAAATTATTATGTAATTTTCTCTTTTCTCCGTTTCTATTTATTATCGTTTGATTAGTTGCACTAGCCTTGATTGTCGGCATTTAAGGGCTGCTGGTACATGCAGCATACACATGGCGACGTGCGCCACTTCCTCGTCTGAGCGCGCTTCTTCTCTAATTAACATTTGGACTCGTAAATTATCCGTATTTTCGAACTAGAAATTATATTGACATATAGTCTCGAACATTATCTGCGATTTAAACTTTTTAGAACGAAATCACTATACGTTTTTTAGTTAGAAAGCGTATTCTATATAATACAATTAAAATAATATCAAGGTATTTCGTCTTAATTTGTAGCAAAATTCTAAAAAATACACTAGATAAATCAATAATAATAAAATTTATAAATTAAAAGACTTACTCTGTTGAAAGATATACATATGTATGTATAGAAAATTTCTAAGTCTACAACTTTTTTACGCAAATGAATTGAAGACGTCAAATCGTAAGGCAATAATTTTCGAAGTCTTATGCTTCGATTTTTGAAATCTCATAGATTACTAAATCTATGTAGAACGTATCGTAAAAACATCGACGTTGCCGCAGATATTTTCGAGACATTTACGAGCCCTTTTATTCTTCGACGACGTCGCGTTTTTAAGGTTTCCGAGCGTTCGCTTTTACAATAGTGGAGCAGCGAAGTCAGTCATATGTGACAATAAGCGTACGATGTCTCGCCATATCTTGTCTTCCACTGTTCCACCTTGAAAGTATACGGTAAAAGCAAGCAAGTACTCGGGAGCCTCAACATCGTATGTCGATCGCGCCTGATCGATGATCGACAGCTAGTCCTGACGATTGTAAGTATATCGTCTGTTTAGTCGTTCATCCATTCGGGATCGATCGATGTATTTCGAAGAAGTATACAATGAGTTTGATACCTGCACCTTCGACGAGATCCTAGTTCACACGTATACTTCGACAAGCATATTTTCGTAAATCTTGTCGATCAAAAATCAGTTATTTAAAAACAAGTGATATCGCTCTTCCCTATCTATGAATCATTCACGATTCCTGCAAGCATCTGCGCGGGACCTCATCGAAGAAGCTTCACATTTCTTCCAGATGTATATACGGTGTGTTTTATTTTAATCGCTCCAGACAAATATCGCGAAAAATATGGAAGACACAAAAAAAAAATGTTTCAGACAAAAGTTGTATGGTTTCGAGGGGGACATAAGATGGTATTATTGGTTTGACCTTGGATAGCGTTGTCAAGGTCAGACGAAGGTCACATTAAATTTTTCAAATGGAACCCCTCATTTTTTATTATATATTCTTGTAGCTTACCTCGAGAGCTTTTCAAAACACTATAATAAAATATTTTTTCATTAAGTACTTTTCAAGTTATGAGACTTGAAAGTCATAGTATGAGCCGGCATTAGTATTACCCAAGGTGTCCGACCGATGGCTAAAATCTCTTGAATGTTGTTCAGGATCATTACCTGGATAACATTTGTTAAGATCAAGACTATTGGAGATTGTACCTCTTATTTTCATTTTTACGTAGAAATAAATTTTTAGTTCAAAAGTGAAAATAAGAGGAACAAGAGGTCGTGATTCTGAACAACATTCAAGAGATTTTAGCCGTCGATCGGACACTTTGGGTTAATGCTAATGCCGGTACATACTATGACTTTCAAGCCTCATAACTCAAAAAGTACTTAATGAAAAAATATTTTATTATAGTGTTTTGAAAAGCTCTCGAGATAAACTACAAGAATATGTAATAAAAAATGAGAGGTTCCCCTCATATTTTATTTAAAAAATTTAATGTGACCTCTTCGTCTGACCTTGACAACGCCATCTAAGGTCAAACCAATGATACCATCTTATGTCCTCCTCAAAATCATACAACTTTTGTCTGAAACATTTTTTTATATCTTCCATATTTTGTGGGATATTTGCCTGGGACAATTAAAATAAAATACACTGTGTATATATATTGTATATATATATATATATGTACAAATATTCAAAATTCAAACGGGTAGGGAGAAGGGGGAGGGGCGGATCGAGATGGGGATACTAAGGATCTGTGTGAAACAACTTTTTACGCGTATAACATTACGATACATAGAACTAGGCGCCAAGCTGTACAACACAAAATTCATAGTAACCGTCCGGATTCTATATAATGGTAAATATATATATATGTCGATGGCTGTGGACGAACGTCACCGCATAGGCGTAGATACTTTTTCTCCGTTTAAAATCGGGGAGGCACCAGTGACGTAGCTAGAAAAAAAGAACGTGTAAGACGGAAGCTTGCAAACTCTTTCTTCCGAACATACGTTTAGCTTGACTCGAGAGACCTTAGAGACCTTCTCTGGGATTCTCAATCCCGCCGTAAAAGCGTCGATTACGGTCCACAGAGCCGGTCCCCCATATCGAGACATATATTGGAGTTATTCGAGCGCTGTGATTCAATAAATTCCGTTTGAAAAGTAGGGCACAAAGAAAAGTGCAAGTTTGCAGACTCCCAATAAGCTCTGTACGTTGAAGTGTTATACAATCCGTATTTATTTCGCCTTTCAGTCATTCGCTACGAAATCTCAGGCCTTTCCTATATGAGCGCCCTTGGGACTTGGAACACAGCAAGACATTAATGACGAGCTCGCAAACATTCGGCACCGATTCCACAACATCATTCCGATGACGCTACGCGAACGACGCGGATTTGCAAGCCGTCGATAAGCTCCATACGTAGTATAATTCGGTCTGCGCTTTCGAACACCCGCCTCATTCTCTTTGTCCACTTCTCGAAACTCGCCTGATTTCACGGCATGTACGCGCGTTTGACTCTTCAGTACTTTTGCGACGCATGCGTCGTCGTCGAACAAGCCGCTCGCGCTGTTTAATAAGAATTCATACTGCCTAACAAACTATGAAACTATCATATTGAATTTACGCAGGAAACGCGAGCGACATCATTCGTTAATGTACAAAAATTAAGCAGACGACGATCTTCGTTTTTATCGGATATCTTTCGTGATTTCTGGATTTTTTCATAGTTTGACAATATAAATATCGCTAGATGCACATCCACAAAGAAAAGTGAATGATTTTCCCGTAGTAAAGAGGAATCTATAGGCAAATGATATAC